TTTCATATACCTTTACCACGTTAACACCCTAAAAGTATACTACTAATATACCAAAAAAAAAAATATATAAAATCCGTGAGACCACAACCGTTAGGTCTCTGATAAATCCCTGTGTCTCTGTCTATCTGTCTGTCTCTCTGTTATTTTTTTTATTCAACCAAGTGAACAGTGAGTCAACTATAAAGGTATAGTGGTTAAAACTTAAAGTAACTAGACTTTACTTACACGGGAGCAGACGAATTTCGTAACACGTGACAAACTGTGTGTTTGTATACGATTAACGTTGCAATACTGCAATAACTTTTCTATCGGAAAGCAAGAGTACTTAGGTGCAAGAGATAACTTAGGTAGCTAAGTCCAGTGGATGACGTTTCGTAGAACCTAACAAGAAAGAAAGAGAAGAGAAGAGAAGAAGGAAAGAGTGGGAGAAGAGAAGGAAGATAAAAAAAAAGAAAAGAAAAATATTTGAAAGAGGTACACGAGTGGGGTTAGTGGCGGTGTAAATTGATACAGTCGAGAATCAAGCGTGCATACGATATAGTGAGAGCATCTATGGTGTGAGGGCACCTATGGTGTCCGGACTTACCGCATGCGTACACGCCCACGTTTACTGTCCGTGTATAATAGTTTACAATGTGTATCATTCTGTTTTACGTTTGTGTGTTAGGTTTATACTATATTTGTATATGCATATATTTATTTATGTATATATGTATATATATATATTTAAATATGTAGTAGGAAACATGACAATGCAGTACAATCCGACATCTGAAAACGATAGAAAGAGGAAGAAGAAGGCGTGAAGGTTTCGATAAGATACACCCGTGTGAAACGACCGGCTTCCCTTAAGGATTTGGCTCCTGAGATCGGCTTAATCGAACTCGTGATTTATTACGAGGTAGAAAGATATACTAAAGTTGTTTCGAAAATATTCGAAGGATGAAAGATCGATCCTGCCACCGGCGTAGTCGGATGATTCTATACTTTGATAATTGTTTACTAAATATTTTATATATTGTCTTGTAAAAATAGATTATTCAAACCATATTTAATCGAATCGTATATAATCACACATTCATCAATTAATTTATATAATATTAGTATAATATAATAGGTTAATCTATGTCACTAACGCGAAATTGAATATTCAATTTTAAAATAATTACATTTATTTTAAAAATTATTTATATATTGTCTTATAAAAATAAATAATTCAAACCATATATAATCGAATCGTATATATAATCATTCATAAAAATCATTTATAGAATTGTTTTAATAATTTATATAATATTATTATAATATAATAAATTAATCT